ATTAAAAAGAAAAATAATCGAGAAGGGACAGCTACCAGACTCCATTTGTGATCACAACGAGTGCGAGATTTGTTCAGTAGAAGAATGTGTTTCAGGTTGAGTACTGACCGGGACTCTCCGATGCCAAGATGGCCGCCACTGCAACAATCGTGACAAACACAGTAGACAGCAAATCAAGGCGTATACTCAACCAACGATTAGAAGACATCACCATGAAAAACGCTTGTGTGTTCTGGTCCTGATACCTAGAAAAATAATCACACATTGCGAGAAGTTATAAACCCGAGTTATAAGAAATCAATAGAGCCGATGACATACTCAGCGACAAGAAAGCCAGCCTTAAACAAACTGTAAGGCGCTATAATTTGGGGAAGAAGTTTCAAGTCCTCTTTTTACCTCTAGGTCAAGCGCGAAATATCGCCAATATAGTTTAAAACTTTGTTCTTCACAAAAAGTATTCGATTAATTTCTTGCATTAATTTACTGAGGTATAATCGCATCGTAATACAGACTTGAATTCTATTTTATCGCGATAACGTTACGTGGTTCTCTGTCATTATTACCTTCATCGTATCTATAACAAAATTCTCGGTCGTAATTGGTTCTCCACAAGCCTATTTGTCACGCAATCGGCGCGCGATCACGTGGGTGCCCAATTACAGGTACCAATTTCGACTCTGATTTCGGATAATTTCTTTGCAAGATATTTGTCCTAATTCAGGGAGTAATCGGCCAAGTAATTTCAAAATCGGACAAGACTGCAGCCCGAGGCCAATTTCAAATTACAGGCCCGATTTCTCTCTGAATTGAACGACACGAGGTCCAACTACTATTTAATCGTATTTATAACAAATTGACGAAAATTGACGTGTGAATGTGAACGTAATTGACGTGTGACTTGCGAAAGTATTCTGTTAAAAGTTTCCAGTTACAAGAACGTTTGACTTTGCATTTTCGTTGGTTCCATCTAAGCGCGAGCACATCTCGAGAAAACATGACTAGCTGGAAGTTTGCAAGACCGCGAAGAGTCTCGCACCCAAGGTGTTACATCGTTGATATTTGCTTGTCAAGTTGTCTAAATGAGCCTTCAAACAAATTAAAGAGTTACTATGTCTGGGGAA